AGGAAAAAAAACCCAAAACAAACGGGTGTGATTTGTAAGCTGTCAGTACTTTCTTTTTTCAAAGGGAAACTAAGCTGTCAAGTGAATGGATCGTGTCATTAGTTGTTTCATTCCAACCTGTGAGGATACACCTGTCTGTATGTGTTTGTCTTGTAGGTTTGAAATGAAGTAAAAACGAGTGGTGGGAAGTAATCAAGTACTGCACTTAAGGTACATGAACTTTATTTAAATATTTCCATTATTCACGTCAACTATACATTTCAGTGAGAAATATTGTACTTTATACTCCACTGCATTTATTTGAAAGGCTTTTTGAGTGTTAACTTTATTGTCATCTTTTGGTAACAACATATAAAACGTCCAATAAATCGATCACATGCACACAAATAAGAGATGTTCATCTAAACCATGCATCAACACAAAAGCTCATAGCGGTACATTTCATCCAAAATGAGTCCAAACATTGTAAAAAGGCACACAAAATTCTTTTCATTTATGCTGACATTTTAAATAATTAGATCACAGTATCTCTCTTTGGATAATCACAACAAGTTCTTGCGACCGGAGCTAGCATCTTCCAGTATTTGAGAATATTTCTTCTGCCATCAATAGAGCTGTTTGAATATGTGAAGGGAGAATTAAATACTCCTCTGAGCATCCAAAGAGAGCCAAGTCTGTCAGAAGAGAGCGAGTGTTGTATGGTAAACCAAAGAAAAATTATTGTTTATTTCTTTTTAAATGACAAGAATGAAAAAATTAGTGGACAGATCCAAAACAAATGCAACAATGCACCATCGTTTGATTTCCGTTCATCACAGATTGGAGTCACAGAGGGGTGAAGTTTACGTAACCGGACCTTCAAATAATGAAACCGGTGAATCACTTTGAACTGAATTAACCTGTATCTGCTGTTTTTTTGAACAACTATGAGTATGGCAAAGTGCAGTCCTCCATATTTTATCAGGCAGCACAGCAGTGATTTCCCCTTCCCCGAGCTATCTCAATACAGTCGACAGATACAGAACCCCCCCTTAAAAGAGTAATGCACAAATTTGGCGATAAGCTTCTCGCTCCCCGGTGAGAGAGAAAGCAATTCAAAAAGAGTGTTTCTCTCTGGAGTGGATTCAAAATGGAAGATGTTTTCCCTCACAAGATGCCTAAGTTGCACGTAACACAGCAATTACAGATCGTACTTTAAGCAAGAAGATGCCAATGTGTTGTCTAAATAAACCCCATTCATCCCTTTTACACACCACGGCGCAGGTATGTTCTCCAGCAACGACTGAGGTTACGAGTTACTTTTCCCATAAAGATGTTCCACAATGGATAATATACCAAGCTTTGAAAATACAACACATAGTTTAAGATTAAATCAGCGGTTTGCAGCCGTTTGAGCAGCGTGTAGTCAGGTACACATTTCAGATGTCTATCAGTTGTAAACAGCTCCACCAAATAGCGATTTTCCCCCTCTGGACTTCTCACTTGGCTTCTTTTCAGTAATTTATCAAATGATTCAACACTGCAGCAAAAAATCCAAGATTAGGAGAAGAGCTAAAAAAAAACTGAAAACAGATTTGTTTATCATACTTTCCACTTTCCTCGACCATTAATCGTGTGACGAACACTCAGATATATGCGCTGTATATGCAGCGACAGGGACCACACCAGCACTTTTTACTGTTATTACTTAGAATATTACTTTGTAGGATCTGAATACTCCCACTGATGGAAGCACACAAAAAGATTTTGATGTTCTATCTTATCTTTGAATTAGTATTCACATCATCGATGTACACTCGGAGCCGAATCAGTCATAAAATACAACAGCGAACCATGTGTCCGGCGGCGAGGGATTGATTTAAGTTGAAACTGGCAATTAGTTTCACTGATAATTGTGGCAGAGGGGAGGAACACACAGGAAGGCGTAACGCATCTCCTGAATGGCAACAGTTCCATTACTCTCTGTCGGGCCAGCCTCGCTCCCCTCCTCGCCGTTCGTCTGTGCATGTAATGACCAAAGAAAAGAGCAAGACGCTGATCTGTCAGGATGATTCACTGTCAATTTAGCGGGCTCCTTATAAAGGTCTGGTGTGTGCAGCGGCGGGGCAGACGGACCCAGCCTCCTAACTCTTTTATTAAGCTGCACATTGACAGCTAAGGATGGCGAAGCGATGATTGGGAATGACTGAGGAGATGACTTCTCAGCAAAAAACTTTAATCTGACAGGTGTGGCATCGGAAGGTAAATAGCTATGTTACAACATGTGCTCTGGTGCTGTGTGACGAGCAAAACAGTTTTTTTGAATCTGTGTCATCATGTTGCAAATGCATTGGAATAAAATGCTTTGATTTGCAATAAATCCCGGTTTCACTTTCTTGTTGACATGAGAAGGCCACTGGGTTTTTAATGCTCCGAGCAGTGTGCGGCCTAGCTCGTGCAGAAATTGATTTAAGATATTAAATCCAAGCTGCAAGCAACCTTATACTCTGTTTGCATATTCCAAGGGAGAAGAGCTTGTTTTGTAAGGACGCTTGTTTTGTTTTTTTTCTACCCAGTGTATTGCCTCAAGGTTTTGCATTATTTCTATTTAGACTCCCAATGAGAGACAGCGGATCTGAATTACAGCAACATCTTGGGCTTGTTCAGGTTCACTATAACCACACATCTGCAAACAAAGCCCGTGCTCGGCCAGCCTGCTGTCTGGGCCTTGACAGAAAAAGAAAAAAAAAACAAAAAAAAACTAGACAGACCACAGACTATCCAATAAGCACAAAAAAGGAGGTGAGCTCCAGCTGCACAGGTTGCATGAGCAAACAGAGCGTCTTCTGCTATGTGCACTACAGATGGTGTAATGTTCGGTTATTTCTGTTGGCAGTTGGATTAAAGCCTATTTGTTCTGTGTGCACCTAAATTACTTTATTTAGCAAATACACACAGGCATGTTTTTATAGCTATTTTTAAGAGAACATTTATTAACATAATGCATTTCCTCCATGGGCTGCAAGGTGACACGGTGGTTAGCACCGTTGCCTCGCAGCAAGAAGGTCGCAAGTTTGCGTCCAGATGAGGACACCCAGGATCTTTCTGCGTGGAGTTTGCATGTTCTCTCTGTGCAGCGTGGGTTCTCTCCAGGTTCTCCGGCTTCCTCCCACACAGTCCAGAAACATGTTGAGGTTAACTGGTGATTCTAAATTGTCGATAGGTGTAAATGTGAGTGTGCTTGGTGTCTGTCTCTAAGTGTGGCCCTGTGATAGACTGGTGACCTGTCAGCTGGGATAGGCTCCAGCCCCCCACGACCCTAGTGATATTTGTGTCACACCTCAACCCTTGTTCTACAATTTCATTTTGCAGATGGTTTTATCCAAAACGACATACATCTAAGAGTAGATACAAAGCAAGCAAGGATCTAATCAGGAAAAAAACAACCTGGATAAGTGCCAGAGAACAAGTTAAAATGTGATAAGACATTGATGCCAATAACAAGCTGTGTGGGAGCTTATAGTCATAGTAATAGTAATGTTTTTTTTTTTTTACTATTTTTTTTTTCTACTGCCAACCTCAGGCCAAATTTTGACCCTTAATTCCTTTTTTAAAGGCTGTGAAAAAGTGAGGACAAGCAAAAATATCCTCTCTCTCTCTCTCTCTGTTGATCTAAAACTGAACCTGGTCCAGACAAAGATAGCTGGACACACACACACACTTATCCCAGTGTTAAAAAAATGTACGCAGATTGTTGAGTTCAGACTCAACAGCAACACAGCGTACATAAAGTAAAGGTAACGGTAACATACTCCATGCCCAATGAACCCAGTCAGTTTCCTAACATTTTATAACTAGATGAGTGATTATAATGTAATATACTGTACTGTTGTAGTTGGCTACAGTGGAGGCCATTCTAACAGCTGTATGGGCAGTTTCATGTAAAGTAGTACAACTTATTTTACATGTTGATTTGTTTTTGAATGTAAGATGTTGAATCTGAAAATACATTATCGACTGTCAAATAAGCACAGAAAAACTATCAACTGGCAGAAGCAAGTAAAGTGCAAGTACTTCAAAATTGTAAAGCTATATGTTATCCTAAATATTACACTGGGTGCACAAAAAAAGAAAGAAAGAAAGAAAGAAAGAAAGAAAGAAAGAAAGAAAAAGAAATTTGACACAAATACCGGTGGCCTGACCCTAATTAGGTAAATAAATAAATAAATAAATAAAAGTACATTCTGCAGCTCAAACAAGATTCACTTTTCAGCCAATTAGGGAGCTTCGTTGAAGGCTGCGTCACGCGCTCCTTAGAAATAAGCTGACTGGCGCCATTATGTGGCTTAATGGAAAATTACAGGAGTGTGCTGAGCGATCAGATCAGCATCTGATAACAGCAGATCCGACACGCTTAGAGGACACAAATACAAGTTATTTAAAGTAGTTTTCATGGCTTCAGGAGAAAATACCGCTGCTGACAAAACTTTACTGGACTTTGTGGAGCACAACTGGAGGCTGATCTATTTTGGTGACGAGAAAAAAAAAGGACGTATTAGTTGGTTCTAGTCTGATTAACAGTGATTAACATGGGAAAAGTGGTCTAGAGTCAAATAAAATGCGCTTATTTGTGTGTGTGTGTGTGTGTGTTTTTTTTTTTCTTTAATGCAGATGGAAGTATTTTGTCGCACTTTAAAAACAAGATCAGCTCTGTGCATCTAATTCATTCATGCATCGGTGTCTGGCCAAGCACCTCTAACCCTTTAAATAACCCAAGGCCAGCGACATCACCATGCAATTAATGCAAATTGGCGTTTTTTTTTTTTTTCCAAACAAAGTTAAGAATCCCGAACGTCCGAGCTCAGTTAACCAGAACTTCTCCTGAGTTCATCAGAACTGCTCCTGAGTTCATCCGTCCCATTTCCTGGACCTCAGTTCCTGAGGGAGGGCCAGCAGAGCTGCCATGGGAAAGTTCTCCCCACTTTTTCCGATTACAGCGATTCTTTTTAAGGAAAGCGAGCACGCAGGAGCTGCAGCGCGGTTCTCCAGTGGAGAGCAGAGGTGACGCTCAGAGCGCAGTGATCCGGCAGAGGAGACCAACCAGACTTCACGAGAGAGAAAGGTAGGAATCTGTTCCTCTATAGGGAAATATCATCAGATTAGAGTTTAAGGAAAAATAATATAAACAAAATCACGTCTTCTCACTTCTTAATAGTTGTAACAGAGGAATGTGTTTTTCATACAGTTGTGAATCCTCTCAAGGTATCAGAATAACATTTCTCAAAAATTGCATTCTGTACAATATAATGCAGCATTTTTATTTTATTTTATTTTATTTTTTTAATCTGTTGTGTTTCATTAGTGGATTACAGACTGAGTGAACTTCTAAAGTTCTGGTAGAACTTTTAATAAATAGCATGAGAAGAAAAATTACTTTGAGTTTGTGCTTTCATTATTTGCTTTGAAGGAAGTGTTTTTTTTTCTTTAAGTCCGTATGATTTCTTTGAACTCAAGGCATGGCAATAATAAGCCCAGTGAATTTAAATTGACTTAAAAAAAAAAAAAAAAGGACTCGTCAAGTCCTGAGAAAAGCCTGTTGAGCTTTTGTCTCTGCCTCTAATGACTTTGTTTTATGATATTTTATGCTGTGATATTCTTAGCACGAGCTTCTCTTCTATTGAACCTATTTGATGCTTTTTTCTGTCTCCTATAGTGTTGGCTGTAGTGTCGGTTCCATTGTGATTTACAGTTGATTATTGTCTTGATTTATATTGCACGACTGTCATCACTGTGTCTCCCATTTATACTCAGAACATTGAGATCACCAGCTTGGTGGCATATGACGGATAATCTTCTGGAAATCATAATTCAGTTGTACAGTAATAATTATAATTGCGCAATATTACTTATTTATATATATTTACTTATATTCCGTTATTCTCACAACAGATGTGACACTGCTGTTCATGCCTGCTGTAGGATCTACACTTTAATTTTGCGTTTGTGTTTTTTTTTAACGTTTTTATTGTCGTGTTCGCACCAGGGTCATGAGAAACTACATTATAAATACTCTATATCTGGACAGCAAACAAACTTGAATCTCATCAATTAGCTGTTTGCTCTATAATATGTCAAAAAATGGTATTAATTAGTGTTTCCTAACTCCCCAGATGACAACTCAAAGATATTCCGTTTACTCTCACAGAGGAATAAAGAAATGATAAAATCGGACAATTTAGACTTTCTTCCCCCCAAAGATGACTCACACTGATTAATCAGTCGTTAAAATAGCTGGTGAATAAGCTCATACTTGACAATCAATTTATTTAACTAATCTATAATAACGTATTACAAATCTGTTGATATTTTGGCGTGTATTTAGTCGAGATAACCACAATCTTCAAGACAATGCTCCCAAAAGAGGATCAGTCCAGTTATGACTTCTGTGCCTCTCTAGCGGGCCAACGTCCCTGACTGTCCATTGTCTTGTCTCATCCTGTCACAAGAGTTTATTTTTTCACTATCGGAGAAGTTTTTCTTTTCTTGGAGGGGAAGAAATAACAGAAAAACACTAATAGCACAAACAAACAAGACAAGTGTCACAGCGGTGCCTGAACTCTCCCACACAGGATGTTTATTCAGATGTGTGTGTTGCGTTTGTGTCGAGCTTCCCGACAAGCCACTGACTGCGTCTTTTATCATTCACAATTTCACAACCACCCACCTTCCACAGCTGATGACTTTACTGTCGTGAAATCAATAGCAGCGTCTGATTTGAATCCGCATTGACGCGGCGAACGCTCCTGAATAACGGGAAAAATCTGCACCGCCCCTCCTGGACTCATTCACTCCAGTTTAGCTGCGAACAGTGAAAGTGCACGCTATTTCCATTCATGTTAAATGCTAACTTAAGCACCATGTGTTTTTGTTTTAGTTCATTTTAGTGTATGGGGGCCTCGCTTTTCAACATCTTTATTAAAAGGAGTTGGACCCCACCTTAACAACAGTGTGAGCTCATGGAAGAACTAATAAGAGGGAGGCTGCGGCCAGCTACACATGCTCCTCCGTAAAAAAAAAAAAAAAAAAAAGACACCATTATACCGCGGCGGTTGGAGAAACTTAGCTCATTTGTTGCTTATATAGAGAGGACTGAACACTTATGCATTTGGCTATGAAAACCCCTGAGAGTTATGTAAGGCACATAAAATATACCAAGTAGGTGTTAAGTGAAACATTCGAGCCAATTTGTTCAGCAATGCAGCAGTAAAGTAAAAAAGGTGGGCAAACTATATGAGCTGCAAAACGACTACAACAAGACCTGTAGAGAGGTATCATGGAGTCAAAGCATCCGATGCAGCTAAAGAAGGTTTAAAAAGGTGAATTAAAGTGGGTTGTTTGGGTGAAAGTTTGGCTATTTTCGACTTTAGTTTATATAAAGGGGTTTCACCAAGTATTAGTAATAGATATAGTCATATTTGCAGAAGGTGTATCAGAAAAACGATTGGAAAGCATATGAACACATCTTTCAGAGCTGCTTGGTGAGTTCAAGAGCTCTCCCAAGTGCTTGCTTGCAGATCTAAAATTGTGAACAACCTTTATGGGTCAAAAACAGTATGGTCTGTGTCATGAAAGCCAATACAGGACACACAGATCTTTGCCTTATTACAGAGTGTGCTTCCTGATTTTTACTTCTCCGGCTTGAGAAATGTTTGATGTGCCTCCGGTTGGTAATATCTCATCCTTTATCTACCAACTGTCCCTCTTAGGAGCAGAGGATGTCCAGAGCTGACTGGTCCTTCCTGGAGCACCTGCTGGAGGAGGGTCAGGAGTATTCGACAGCCGTCGGTCGTGTGTGGCTCACAGTTCTCTTCCTGTTTCGCATGCTGGTACTGGGAACTGCCGCCGAATCTGCCTGGGATGACGAACAAGACGATTTCACCTGCGACACTCGCCAACCCGGATGCACCGCAGTCTGCTACGACAGAGCCTTCCCCATATCCCACTTCCGCTACTTCGTCCTCCAGGTCATCTTCGTCTCCACGCCAACCATCTTCTACTTTGCGTATGTGGCTGTAAGGGCTGGGAAAGACAGGAGAACAGAGGAAGCTAAGGATGGGAAGCAGGCAGAAGAAGGCAATGGTCGAAGTAAGAAAGGGGACATTGTAAAAGAAAGACTTGATACCAAAGTGATTGAGGAAAAAGCTGAGGAAAAGGAGAAAGAAAAGAAAGGTAGAAAAACTGACAAGCCTCCCCCTGAGGCGCCCAAACTGAAAGGCAGGCTGCTGTGTGCATATGCATTTAGCATCCTGTTAAAAGTCCTCCTCGAAGTCGGCTTCATCGTTGGGCTCTGGTTCCTTTACAACGGCTTCTTCATTGAAGCAAAGTTTGAGTGCCGAGGGTTCCCTTGTCCTCACATAGTGGACTGCTATGTCTCTCGACCCACAGAGAAGACCATCTTCACCATCTACACTCAGGTGATCGCCGCCGTCTCCCTGCTCCTCAACGTCATCGAGCTCTTCCATCTGCTCCAGCTGGCCGTCTCACACCGGCTGGAAAAACGCTACCGTGCCGAGCGCCTGGACTACCTGCCTCGGGCTGAGCAGGAACCAGCCCGACGACAGACCCCCGAGCTCCAAGCAGAGGTGTCGGAGCCTTACAAAGCAGGGAGCCATGTCCAACTCCCGTCGCAGGGCGAGGCCGTGGGCTATTCTAACCCCTGTGAGAGCTACGGGGATGCGGCCATAGAGGTGAACTGGGGACCTGGAGAGTCTGGGACCGACCTGCTTCCCAGTTATGTGAACTGCATGGGAGCTATGAGAACTACACATTCCCCCAGAATTCATTATAAGAAGCACGCACATCACACTGGGAAAAATCCTAAGAGTGTCCATAAGGGGCACTCAAAACAAAAACATTATGTATGACGCAGTAAGACGGGGTAATGCTGCGTGTATGCGCATGAAAGCTTCGTTCTTGGAAATGCCATCCTGCACACGACACTTGACTATCAGGAGGGCCCGGTGAGAGCCCAAATGCGGGAGGAATGAAAAAGAACAACTATTACGCTGTGAACTCAATGCCTCAGAGGCAGACAGACATTCAAACAGAGATTTACCAGATAAATGGACCTATTCAAAATGAAACATTTTGAGAACACTCCCCAAGGCAAGGAAAATGAGACTCCTCAATGAGACAAGATTAAAGTCATAAGATGCCTTCGTGTTACATTTAATGGATTTTAGTGCAAAATGTGACAGTGTTGAGAAAAAAAAAAAAACTCTGCAGAGGGGGCTACTGTGTGAGTGTTTATGGGAGGGAATACAGCAGAGCCAGATTTAAGCATGTTCCCCTGAGATTTGCACTGTAAACCCTGGAGCTGTTTGAAGACCCCTCCTCTTTTCCCAGTGGCTTCGTCCACAACTGTGGAATGCACTGGTCTCTGGATCCTGCTCAGCTCCCGGGAGGATAATGGCTGCGTGGATGCAGGCACGCATGCATGCACACACACAATATACTTTTCCCCTTTCACCCAGTGAGTTTTGGTCACTCGAGTTTGGGACATGGACTGGGAAAGGCCGAGGTAAAGAGAAGGGGAGCCAAACCATGGGAAATGTGGAAACTGAACATGACGGATCGTTGCCAGCAACCATAATGTTTCAGCTATGAAAGAAGAGGGAGAGAAAGTAGCACTGCGAACAGCGCTCTCTGAATAATGCAAAGACAAACATCCAGTTTGAAAAATCAAACCTTTTAGCGAGCTGGAGATAGAGCTCGAACGATGCATTAGTGATTGCACATTGAACGGGCTGAAAGCAGTACAGAAATGTACAAATTCAACAACGGGAGATGACTAATTATGTGAAACCTGTATTTAATGTTTAAGGTATTGCGAGAAAAAAAATATTTATTTTTTTGTTGTTGAAAAATAAAATTTTTGATGATGTCATTTCATGATATAGTTATCACACGATCACCAAATGAAAAAAAAAAACTCCATTATTCACGTGCAAATGGATTTTCAGTGCATATGATGGTTTTATTCCCTTTGATTTCTGGACGAGATATGAGATACGAGCAAAGCCTCGCTGAAATGAGGATGTTTTCTGTGTCCAACCATGCACTTTCTGCTATCTAAATACTGTCGCAATACAGAGGTACTGAATAACTCAAGGGGAAGATAACAGAAAAACAGAGGTGTGGAGAAGTGGATGCGCCTTACATGGTATTATGAGCATAACCTGGAGGGAGGGGGGAAGAAAAACTGTAATTTAATGGCTGTTTTCATATCTGTAGCTCTGGCTATACAGAAAATAAGGGCATCACTTACATGCCAGCGAAAGTTCGTACAAGGTGGAACAACACTTTATGTTGGCTCCATTTATTATCCCCTTGAGAGTGCTGAGTGTTAATGCTGGTTTTTAGGAGAGCAACTGATAAAATCCAGAACTTCAACAAAGGGCGCTCGCCCAGGGTCTGAAAAAATGCAGCCATGTGTCTTTACGACGCAAATACAGCGTTCATTTCCAGCAATTTCCCGAACTGTCTCCATGGCGATGAGCAGTTGCCTACCGTAGGAAAGAGGGTTAATGGGAAATTTAAGCGAGACAGGCTCTCGTACCGCAAACAGCTTGGACCGTTTGTGAGGTCAAACGAACCGTAACGCGGCTGAAATTAAATGAATTTGGCTTTTTCTTTTAATTTTGCTGCGGTTAAATAAAAAATGTTTTCTAATTTAATAATAATGCCGGGAAAGCTCGGAGGTCCTCGGAGTGGAATGTGTGTTTTTATTGTAGGCGCGTGTTAAGGATAAGTTGACAGATTCTGCTGAGAAAACAATCTGAAAGCGTCCCAGTTCGATGCCTGCTCGCAAGAACTTGGCCGGCTGGTCGGGCTGCAGTCTTGTTATCTCAGTCGGTGTTTGCGTGCATGCGTCCATGTGATCGTTCACGTCTGTTTTCACAAAAAGCCAGGGGGTCACGGAACAGATTGCGCAGGGCGACCCGTATCAGCCCCTCTGCTGCCAACCGAAGCCAGCAACAGCAGCAGCGCAGCTCCCTTTTGCATCTATCTTCCTCATAGCCGATCAACGCCCTGCTCTGTTCTTTGCGCAGACTAAACTCTCACCTCCTGTTCAGCGAAGCAAATATAAACCTGCGAGATGAAAACAACAGTCAGTGCAGGTTATTTGCTGCTCCGCCGGCTATATATATATTTTTTGTCTCGATGGTCGCTGTCTGCCAACCAGAGAATTTTCAATCAACAGTACAGATGAAAGTGATGTTTTGCTAATACATTCCTCTAGCAGGACAATAGGACATTAATAAAATGTTCTTCCATTCATTGGTTTGATTACCTATTATTAATGTCTAGACTATTTCCCATAATCACAGCGCAAAGCGCAAAGGATGTGCCATTAAGAGCTTAACAATGAAAAGATTTGTTTGTATAAAACTGTGAAAATAAAAATGAAAGGGAGTCACAAGTTGCATGAAGCTGTATCTATGAGACGGGTTATCCTTAACGGTGTCGACAGGGAGCGTCTGGGATCAGATGCCATTCTAACCGTATTTCCTGACATTGTTGAAGTCACTGCTGATGCATTTCCTCACTCTATTGGTGAAGCCACATGCGGCCGATCTCACACAGAGACAGGCGATTTTGCAGTTTGGTGAAAGAGCGTGCACGCACACATCGGTGGAGGTGGACACTCTCACCACTGTACACAAGCTTTTAGACTGTAAAGCAGTTTGAAGTGCCATCAAGTGCCCTCCAGGCTCCAGCAGGTCTTATGAAAGGCCAACTGTCAAGCCCAGAGGCAACTCTTCTTTAGGGAAGATTCTCAGAGCTTTCATGCACGACACCAGCCTCTGGAGGGACTTTAAAGGGTTCACCTACACTATGTGCCTGGCCTGGCTGATCTGCTGTCATACTTCCTGCCAGCTGTACTGCCGAAAGCCCCGCGTATCTCGAGGAAGCACCCTGAAAAGGCACTGACATGCACAAACACACAAAAAAAGTTACGCCTACAAGACCTCCCTTCACAAAACTTTCACATCCCACACAGAGAACCAAGTGACCAGCTCAAAATAGCAGCTGCAGGGTCGATGAGGTCACTTAAGTTATCTAACATCTCTCTATTCTGACACGATTACAAATAATGTTCCTCGCGTAGCAAAGTGTCACGGTGTTCATGTTGTGGTGCGTTTGCATGTCGAAAAGGCGCACATGTGCCAACTCCCTTTGTTTTTCTTACCGTCCATGCACACAATACCGACACACGACTTTCTCTGTATCCATAACAATGACACGTTCGTGCACCCAGCCCTTTATCTGGACATTGGTACAACTCCACACAAAAAAAAAAATACTTTGACTAGTTCCTAAATTTAAATCCTGGACAGGAAGTGGGCCTGTATCTGTTTCCTGGTCCAGTATTGTTTGTCTCCAGGGACTGGTTGTTGGGGATTGTTCACCCTGACAATGGCGCTGCGGTGGGCATTGTTGCATTGTTTGTTGTCCCCCCTGTTTGTTGACCTAATGTCACAGCCGCCCCATCAAAGGCCCGTGGAGGATGGGGGAAATGGGCACCGCGCCTGCTGTGTGGCTGGAGTCAATTAAGACGGCTGGTACCACTTACAGCTCACTCAGATTTGCGTGAGTGCGTGCAGGGTGGGGGTTTCTTTTAACTTCAGTCCAGGTTCATTTGTTACTTCTGCTAAACGTTTCAGTTGCTGAATGATAAGTTGACGTGCTGTGTAGTACAATAACCGTGGTGCAAGTGAGGTCTTTCTTGGTCACAACCTTCCAGGTTTTTATGTTTGAGGTCGTATTAATCAGTATTTGAAAGGGGTGGCTTGATTCCACCTGACTCTTTGGTGTACCTCAGCTGTATGGACAGTTTCAGTGCCTTTAAACTCATGTTTTTGATTTTACGCTTGAAGCTGTCATCAATGTGTAATCATTTTTATTCAAAGGGCTCTGTAAACCCACTGTACAGTACCTGCACAGCACATCACATCAACAGTCAAACAAAGTCGGTTACTGGTAGACACATATAACTGTAGGTTCAAAACCTAAGATATTGGTTTCCACTGGGAACAAGATTTGGATCCGAACAGGACTGTGGGCCTGTATGAAACCTCTGAGAAATTAAGTAATGTTCCTCTAGTCATAGAAGCTTGAAGGCTCTTCTCAGAAAATAAAGTTGTATGCAGAACTTCCTAAACAGCTGACGAAAACCACCACGTACTGGACTTGAGTGTGAAACCGTTCAGTCCACAACAAGCCATTCTGTGGGTGCATCNAAAAAAATGTACGCAGATTGTTGAGTTCAGACTCAACAGCAACACAGCGTACATAAAGTAAAGGTAACGGTAACATACTCCATGCCCAATGAACCCAGTCAGTTTCCTAACATTTTATAACTAGATGAGTGAATATAATGTAATATACTGGACTGTTGTAGTTGGCTACAGTGGAGGCCATTCTAACAGCTGTATGGGCAGTTTCATGTAAAGTAGTCCAACTTATGTTACTGTCCACATGTTGATTTGTTTTTGCATGTAAGATGTTAAACCTGAAAATACATTATCGACTGTCAAATAAGCACAGAAAAACTATCAACTGGCAGAAGCAAGTAAAGTGCAAGTACTTCAAAATTGTAAAGCTATATGTTATCCTAAATATTACACTGGGTGCACAAAAAAAGAAAGAAAGAAAGAAAGAAAGAAAGAAAGAAAGAAAGAAAAAGAAATTTGACACAAATACCGGTGGCCTGACCCTAATTAGGTAAATAAATAAATAAATAAATAAAAGTACATTCTGCAGCTCAAACAAGATTCACTTTTCAGCCAATTAGGGAGCTTCGTTGAAGGCTGCGTCACGCGCTCCTTAGAAATAAGCTGACTGGCGCCATTATGTGGCTTAATGGAAAATTACAGGAGTGTGCTGAGCGATCAGATCAGCATCTGATAACAGCAGATCCGACACGCTTAGAGGACACAAATACAAGTTATTTAAAGTAGTTTTCATGGCTTCAGGAGAAAATACCGCTGCTGACAAAACTTTACTGGACTTTGTGGAGCACAACTGGAGGCTGATCTATTTTGGTGACGAGAAAAAAAAAGGACGTATTAGTTGGTTCTAGTCTGATTAACAGTGATTAACATGGGAAAAGTGGTCTAGAGTCAAATAAAATGCGCTTATTTGTGTGTGTGTGTGTGTGTGTTTTTTTTTTTCTTTAATGCAGATGGAAGTATTTTGTCGCACTTTAAAAACAAGATCAGCTCTGTGCATCTAATTCATTCATGCATCGGTGTCTGGCCAAGCACCTCTAACCCTTTAAATAACCCAAGGCCAGCGACATCACCATGCAATTAATGCAAATTGGCGTTTTTTTTTTTTTTCCAAACAAAGTTAAGAATCCCGAACGTCCGAGCTCAGTTAACCAGAACTTCTCCTGAGTTCATCAGAACTGCTCCTGAGTTCATCCGTCCCATTTCCTGGACCTCAGTTCCTGAGGGAGGGCCAGCAGAGCTGCCATGGGAAAGTTCTCCCCACTTTTTCCGATTACAGCGATTCTTTTTAAGGAAAGCGAGCACGCAGGAGCTGCAGCGCGGTTCTCCAGTGGAGAGCAGAGGTGACGCTCAGAGCGCAGTGATCCGGCAGAGGAGACCAACCAGACTTCACGAGAGAGAAAGGTAGGAATCTGTTCCTCTATAGGGAAATATCATCAGATTAGAGTTTAAGGAAAAATAATATAAACAAAATCACGTCTTCTCACTTCTTAATAGTTGTAACAGAGGAATGTGTTTTTCATACAGTTGTGAATCCTCTCAAGGTATCAGAATAACATTTCTCAAAAATTGCATTCTGTACAATATAATGCAGCATTTTTATTTTATTTTATTTTATTTTTTTAATCTGTTGTGTTTCATTAGTGGATTACAGAC